CAAAAAGTACTCGACTACATCACTGATGGTTAGGTCGCTTGTTTGCTGGCAATCTAGGGGCAAGTTTGAGTGTGAGTTATAATTTGACTAGTCCAGTGCTTTTTAACAGTGGGCATGCTCGATTCAGTTACGCTCGAACAACCCTAGTCAGTCAAGTTTTTAACACCTCATCATTACTCACATTTCACCATCGGCTGTGATTCTCGAAGCGTACATGGTCACTGAAATCTTGTACAATTGTTTTCATGTGAATGGTTCCCTCTGCAGTGATAAATGAAGTCGGATATTGATAACCAGCGGTGCGACCATACCCCTGAGCCTGGTCCAAAATGGTTGACTCGATAATCCCAACCATCCATCATTTGGGCGGTGTTAGTCGAACTGTAGTTAACTTGATTTGTCGCTCGAACTTGCCTTAACTTGCTGGTTTGCAAAGTTCTTATTTTTTTTGCTTTTTACTTTTTTTATGTTTGTTTTGGTTGGTCATTTCTTGTTTGGTAATAATTTACCTGCAGAATCCCAGTTAAGATTTGTCGTACAAGTGTTTTTGAGAGTGAAAATGTTCTGTTAAGCGAGTACTGATTTCCAGCCACCTTGTTGTCATTTGAATATTTGCTGTGTGGATTCCTGAAACTAAACTGGGCTAAGCTTGGCTTAACAAGTTTGGTGGTGCCTTCTCAGAATTAAACCTGTTTGCATGCCGATGACAAAATTGTCAAAGTTCTGTTTGGAAGCTTTCCAACGTACTATGTTATTGTTACCAGTGAATATGTGACCGGTTCCCTCTTTCTTACACAGTGTGGGGGCACAACGCACATCCTCAGACTTAGCTGGTCCCCCGACGGTGCTTACGTCGTGTCTGCCCACGCGATGAACAACAGGGGACCGACAGCTCAAATCATCGACCGGGACGGCTGGAAGGCCAACATGGACTTTGTCGGACATCGGAAAGCAGTCACATGCGTTGTAAGGATCAGTTTGAAATTGGCATTCCAAACCCCTCGATACTTTCTATTCCTTGATCATAAAACTTAAGACCAACATCATGCTGTATTTCTCTCTTTTTGTTTTATTTTAGAGATTTAATTCCAACATCTTTACAAGACAGATCAAGAAAGGCAATCACACAAGGGTAAATTCTAATTGTTCAAGTTTCTATTTCAAATGTATCATTCAGACTGTAAAAGTCCCAAGTTGTACCGGATCTTTGTGACTGTTTATGATGAATCTGTTGAGCAAAATTAGATTAACCCCTTCACGACTGCGACTGCTGGGCTGTGGT